AATATAGTTTTCTAAGAAAGGTTCAATTTTAGATACATGAATGTGTTTTAGTTTAAGATATGTGTATTTTGTAGCAAAATCATAAATTTTCTGAAGTATGCTATTTATAAATTCATAATTTAGAGTGTTGTCTGAATTATGAAAGTTGTTAATAGTAGTCAGTTCGTCAGTTAATAATAATGATTCGTTGAGAACATCGAATACAAAATCCTCATTAGTACATTCAAAATAATTTAATGCATTAGTCATACAAGACATTAGTGGTTTAAACGTAGAAAACATTTCGATTAATATTTTCAAATTCGTCAATTTAGACTCTTCATCTGGGTATTTATATACTGATGACATAGCACTATAGTAATTACGTAAAGGATGAAGCATATCTGAATAAATTTTAATTAATACCATTGAAGCATATGGCTTTGATATTGTTTTAAAATGAGTTTTTGAGACATTATTGATAGAAGAATATGCATGGACCCATTCCCTGATTGGTACTGAATCTCCATTAAGGGCTTTAAATTTAAAACCAATTATTTTATGCCATCCTATAGAATTAATAATACAATTAAATTTAATAACTTCATCAGGATTTACTATTGGTTCTCGTTCTCGTCCTGGCTCTGGTTCTGGTTCTGGTACTGGTTCTGGTTCTGGTTCTGGTTCGGGCTTTATTTTACGCCGACTAAATATGCTACTAGAAAGACATATTAACATAAAGAAGAAAATTAATCGTGAGAACAACATCATAAAAATCGTAATTAAACAAAAAATAACTTACTCCTATAAACCTTATACCATTATTCCTTTTAATTTATATGTATAGAGTATTTACATTTATTAATAATATATGTAAAATTATTATTTATGTATATTTGTTTTATTATTATTTAATCGTATTTATTTAGTTAATGGAAGTATTTTTGTGTTAGATGTTCTTATATCATTATACAGCATAAAAATAAAATTATACTTGTCAAATAACATTTTTTAAATTTCTAATTTCAATTCAAAATTAAAAGTTTATTTATAAATTAAGTATTATCGTTTAATTTACGGCACTACAGAACACACGCACCCAACAGTTTAGGTTCAATAATGATACGGTAAATCATTACAAAACATTCTATAATGCACCGATTTATTGTACTTCTTTTCTAATTCGGACAATTTTGTTGATGTCTAATTATCTTGTCTTAATAAATGTATTTATTGTATGTCAAAATTAGCCGATAAATATAATATAGATCTAATTGTAAATAGTTTATATGAATTTAAACTGCTTTCGTCAGGGCGTTTTTCTGAACCGTTGCTATTTCTTTCGTTGTCTCCAGATTCGAATGGCGCGCGCTTTATTATGAATTTATGTCAGATTATAATCAACTTAGTCTTTATTCACACCTATTAATTAAGTAATGTTTTTATATTTAAATAAAACATAGAGTTGTATGACATTAGATCATAACATGTTATGTTTATAATACATGATACCAACTTTTCAGATGAGTATGATGTTGATGTAATCTCATATTATCTATTTTGGAAAAATTTTTGCCGCAAACTGTACAGCTGTACAATTTGTGTTTAAAACTAAAATTCTTACCGCAAACACAGCATAAGTGATTCATATTTGATGTGTTGACGATTGAAAATGAAAAGACTTTAAAGTAACGATTTAACAGACAAACGAAAATTAAGTCTGGGGAAGAATGATTTTTCGGTTTTATTAAGTATACTTTTGCAAACCTCAGCAATTTCATACCAACAGTATCCCTTACCTCTGGAGTTGATCATATTTGTAAGACAATCTCGTGTTATGACGATTCTCAGACGTCCATTGGAATTTAACATTATTTTACGTGACTTTTGTTAAAACACTAACATTTTATTTACACTTACTAACGTGACGCTTATCACCTCAAAACACATATGAATTGTATAAAGTCATGGTTTAGAAATGTTTTTACATAAATTCGGATCGTAATATTACCCAAGTTGTAGGTGAATTATACGATTCGCAAGGTATGAGCAGAACCAATAAAAAAATACTGATTTGATCATTTTTGATAAAGTTATAACAGTTAACAAAGTTATAAGTTTTATTGGACTAAAAGGAACTTTCATCAGAAACAAAAATATACTATTCTAAATCAACTTTTCGCGATGTTTTCAAATTTGCAATTAGACTTTTTCTATCACTTCTAAGTTTTAATATTATTAAAAAATAGTATTTACATATAAAAAAAATACATACATATAAATGAGCAGAACCAACAAAAAAAAAAAAAACTGATAGAACGACCAGTTAAGATATACGTCGGAAACGGAACAGAACGCAATCTCCGTAGTCCATACTCGGCGGCGGCCTTATCTCGGAGTCATGGGCGGGGAGACAACCGATTGTCATATTAATAGCTGGACGGCTGATATTGAGAGACACCGATGAGCGCCAGCCGGATAATTTACCGAAAAAATTCCGTGTGGGCGACAAGGTGCAGATCAGTGTACATAAATCAGTGTTTGATAAGGGTTACTTACCAAACTGGAGCACCGAACTGTTTACCGTAGTGAAGGTTAGGCAAACAGTACCACCAACATACTATCTGGAGAACTATCAGGGAAATCCAATACGTGGTTTGTTTTACACCGAAAAGCTGAACAAGACCAGTTATCCGGAAATGTATTTAGTCGAACGAGTGTTGCGAACACGAGGGGACCAGTGCTTCGTTAAATGATTAGGATTTGGTCCAGAGCACAATTCATGGATACCGAAAACCAATATCTCACCTCGATGATTGTCGATATACAAGGTATTGTGGCAGCAGACTGATCATTTTTGGTCAAGGAACTGACTGTCATTGCCATAGACTGCACTTCATTCGCTCATTGGATGTTTAAACATCCAAAAAGTATCGAGAGCGATGCTAAAACAAATTTTTGGTTGAAAAAATATCTACATGGAATGGATACACGTTGCGGTGACGTTGAATACAATGAGTTGCCGAGAATCATGAAACTGTTGCGGTGCGAGACCATTTACGTGAAGGGAGCTGAGAAAAAGTGAGTAGTTGAAAAGTACATACCGGGACAACGTATAGTCAACGTCGAGGATTTGGACTGCCCACCGCTGTAAAATTTAAGTTGTGTTACAAAAATGTGTTTGTGTTCCCGCAGGGGAATCCGCAAGGATTACGGGCCTAACAACCCCGCGGACCCTAGTTATTTCAGTGGGGGTAGCAACACGTACCACTGCTCTTAGCCGGTCATGACTTTGGTTAGTTGGGACCGGTAGGCCTGGGCATACCTGCTTGCTAACAGCGACTAGGCCCCCCTAACCCAGCCATACCAAGTGAAAGGGTTGCTAACTTGTCACAGGGTAGTTAGCCGAAAGGCAAAGTGACCATTGGGATCCTCTATGGCACCTGACGCACCATAGAGTATACAGCCTTATCACAGTATCGAGCTCTGCTATGACGGACCTTTATTTCTCGACTACTCGTGGGAACTATATGGATAAAAACATAGAAAAACCACAAAACAACGAACTTATGACGATTAGGGATCCTACGGACAACCTGTCGGAACAAGATCGTGAACTGGCGACTCTTCGCAGAAGAATCGCCGAACTTGAAGGTCTCATGCAAACAACGGGACGCTTGGTGAACCGTCTACTAGCAAAGAGACAGCAACATCAGCAAATGTAAACCAGGAATCGCAAGATCAACTGGGAGCAGTAGCTGACAAAATCGAGGGTCTAAAACTTAGACCCGAGAAACTGAGCGGCAGTCAGAGGCGCAAGCTGAAGAGGAGACGAGCAATCATGGAGGGACAGAAGAACCTACCAAAGGAGGGAGACAAGGGAACCGACGACTTGAAAAAGTCAAAGGGAACCGAAGCTCAATAACCTGAGGACAAGGGTCAAGAACCTCCATGTAAGAAAACTCATTGGGTACCGACCTATAATCTGTGAAGCAAACTCTGCCCGCTTCACAGATTATGTTGCCAAGCAGCCACCAGCCCCGAAGGATGTGAAAAAATCCACTTCACAAAAATCTGGTAAGAGGAAGGCTGAGGAATCACCAGTGCCACTCGGAAAAGGAGGTAAGGCACAGGTAAGAAACAAACGAACACACTTCACTCCTGCCTCGAGGGGAACCTCTCCACGGATCCAAAAGGAAATGTGGAGAGCGAACCTAAGGCACGGTCGCCACCTGTGAACGGCGGGGGGACATCACCCACAGGGGGGACTGTGTGACACAGGGACTGTTTCAGACGCCTGTATCACACCCAGTACAGCGTGCTTTCTCAAGCGTCAACATCAGTTTTTCTGAATGGCTGACAATAGAATTCAATTCACGCAAATAAACCTGCATCATAGTAAAGGGGCCAGCAGTGTATTACTAAGGACCCTAACTGAGAGGCATACAATACCCTTACAAATAGCACTTATTCAGGAACCATGGATAAATGGTGACCAAATTAAGGGGCTAAATCTAAGGGGTTTTAAACAGTTTCATAAACAAGCAGATAAACCAAGAACTTGCATTTTGGTTAATAATAAAGTTAAAGCCAGCCTGATACTTAATCTATCAAGTGCAAACTTGACTATTATTAGAGTAACACTAAATGATGGTAAAAGTATTATAGTAGCTTCAGGATACCTACCATATGAGGTCACAGACCCAGGTAGGGACTTAACTATGCTCATTAATTATTGCAAAAATGAAAAATTAGAACTAATCGTAGGTATGGATGCTAATGCACATCACACTATTTCAACCAAAGAGAAGAGGTTATAATGGATCTATTGCTGACTACAGACCTAAGTAAATTAAGGGGAATTTATTAAGTAAAAAAAAAAAACAAAAAAAAAAATTAAGTTAACACGAGGCAAAAAACCGAACGGTCAAAAAACCTCGTCTACAATTAAAGGGGAAAAAGAGAGAGAGAAAAAAAACAGGTATTAATAAAAAAAAATAGTTACACCTACACTTTTAATATTAGAGGATACGATGAACGTCTTCGGGTACCCATCGGCTATTAATCGCGGTATTACCGCTAAGCACGGCGGATATACGTCCCAAGTAAGCAACTGGTTTTTGGCAGTTAGGCTTAGCTTGCAAGACGTTGGGACACCCCGGGATAAAATGCACTACGTCACCACATTGTACTAATAACATATTCATCATCCAATAAAATATAACATAAAACCTATAAAAAAACATATATAACATGACAGGTGGTATTGGAACACGCCTGCCATGTTGAGAGACCTAAATAAAAAAATAGGGGCACCTAAAAAAAAATTTAATAATAAAAAAAATTGCCACACGTGCTTATGGCACGGCACACTAATAAAAATAATTCTGGCTCAAAAACATTAAAACAAAACGTATACGTTACCAGCCCCGAAGGGCTACAGAAAGAGGATGCATGATCAGCCGACACCATAAATAAAAAAATTACATATTAAAAAAATATCGGACACTCACGTAAAACAAAAAAACAATTATTATAGTTGTAGCGCACACAACAGAAAAGACCGCTACGGACGAAAATTAGCGTACCAGTTCCGATGATGGCTAATTTCCGACAAAACGTCCGACGTTTGACCCGGCGGTCCGTTGGCGACAACACGGCTAACCTTTAGAGTAGGGGTCAAAAAAAAACTTAATACCCAGTGCCGGAAATTACTAAGAACAATTTAAATCATAAGGCGACAATGTATGCGGTGAGCAGTGCAAATGACGTTCAAGATGGGAAAGGAGCGGGGTGAATGTACACACAAATGCCGTCCATGAACCGGTCTGAAGTAATATACAGCTGACTATCTCGCACGCGCATAAACAAATCACAACACCTCATCATGATAATTTTACCGACAAACGCCGTCGCAGTCCGCATTCGGCTCAACACAAATATATATATATATATATATACTGTACGGTCATTAATGGACTGTATAAGGTATTGAAAAGGAAAACAATAAAATAAATAATCAACCAATGTTCACTTAGTTACAATAAATTAATTATTAACCAAAGAAAATTTCATACATGCATTAACCCTGGCCAGGAACTTAAAACTAAGGGGAATCAATTAATGGGGGGATCAGAATACAAACAATTAATTTAAAAAAAATAATAATAATAATTAAGTAAATATAACGCTTGCCTTTGCTGTTTGGATACGACTGCGACGGCGGCGACGACGAATTGTTAATGCACACACGTACGATATTCGTAAATGATTTTCAAAGTTAACGGTCGGTATGTTCTTTTCCGGAGGTTTCGGTGATGGTCGAATTCGGTTGACGGTCGGTGTCGGTGTGTTTAGGTAGGCGGTAGTTGAGAAAAACAAAACAAGATTAATTATTTACAATGATTCTCAAACATACCGCCAACCTTGAAGAACCGTAGGTCTTCAATGATTCAATGGTAACAAACAAAGTTTTACCATGGGTCGGCTGAGAATTTTTCCGGTAGAGGTTCGGACGTGAGCCCCTCGTACGACTCCATCGGCTCCGGGAATAGTTTTTATTACTCTAGCAGTGATCCAAGTGAGGGGAGGTGTCGGCTCTTTGAGAAGGACCAAGTCTCCTACCTCTAAGTTGGGCGCCCAACGCATCCATTTTGATCTTTCTTGAAGAGTATGTAGATACTCTTTCTGCCATCGTGACCAAAAATGCTGGGTGATAAAAGCCCAGCGTTTCCCGATGCTGATGTTAAGATGATTGTCGGTAAAGGATGGGGACGGTACGGTGACCAATGGTTCCAAAGTTAAAAGATGTCCTGCGGTTAATGGAGTAAAGTCGTTAGGGTCGGCTGACATGGCACTTAACGGCCTTGAATTTAGAGTGGCCTCGATCTGATGTAAAACGGTATTAAGTTCTTCATAACTAACGATTCGGTCTTGTATGGTTCGGTAAAGTAAAGATTTGGTTGACTTCACATTTGCCTCCCACAATCCTCCCATATGAGGATAGTGGGCGGGTTAAAATGCCAATTAATTTGATGGCTTACCGCATAATTGATAAATGTTGACTTGTGTAGTATAGCGTCTACTTCTTNGCAACGGGCGGGTTAAAATGCCAATTAATTTGATGGCTTACCGCATAATTGATAAATGTTGACTTGTGTAGTATAGCGTCTACTTCTTTTAAGTAACGCTGAGTACATACAAAATTGGTTCCGCAGTCACTGTAAATGTCCGTACAGCGTCCTCTTCAACTGATGAATCGGCTTAACGCCGTGATAAACAGTGGGGTAGACATGACTGAGACAAGCTCGATATGAACGGCAGTCGTAGCCATACATATAAAGATGCAAATGTATGCCTTTGTTATTTTTATTTTTCTTAACATTGAAGCTTTAACATGGAAAGGGCCGACAAAATCCACTCCTGTTTTGCCGAACGGTTTAATTTGGGAAAGACGGAAGGAGGGAAGATTACCCATTATTGGTTGAGATGGCCGAGGTTTTGCTCTGAAGCATGGGATACATTGATGCAGTTTGCGCTTGATTACGCTTCTTGATGAGAGTATCCAATAATTTTGCCTTAATAAATTTTGAGCCGTTTGTTGTCCTGAATGTCCGTTTGTTCTGTGGATGTGGTTTATTAGTAGTTCCGTTAGTCGTGCCATTTTGGGTAGTAAAAGAGGATGCTTTTCATGGTAGGGTATACTTGAGTAGTTTAAACGACCACCCACCCTGAGCAACTGGTCCTCGTCTAAGAACGGAGTTAATTTCCTCAAGGAAACCGGGGCGGGTTTACCCATTGAAAGTGACTTTATAGCATCCGGAAAAAAGGCATATTGTGTCCAACGAACTAAAGCTCGAAGCGCCTCATCTGTTTCAACCGTGGTTGGTAGTGTGGTGACGGATAAAATAGGTTTTTTACGAAGTCGATTTTTCACTCTTAACCAATAAGCTGTGAGCCTCAAAATTTTTGGTAAGTTCTCTGATTGATAAAGTAAACGAAGATCTGTTTCTTGTACTTGAGAAAAAAGTGAAATCGGTTTTTCTTCAATCATGACTTCGGGGTCGCTGTTAAAACTGAACACACTTTCTTCAAGCCACTCACTACTATCTTGGTGCAGAAATGAGGGACCGGTCCACCAGAGATTATGACTGACCAGACCCTTTGGTCCTAAACCACGTGACGCGCAATCAGCAGGATTATCTGTCGTTGGTACATGTCGCCAAATATCAATGGGAGTAAGTTGGTGAATTTTGGCAACTCGATTAGCCACAAATGTTTTTATAGTATCGGTTGAACTTCTTATCCAAGAAAGCACAACAGTAGAATCGGTCCACGCTGTAGATTTCATGACGTTAATAGATGTTAGATTTCTCTGTACAAATGTTAAGAGACGAGCTAACAGCCAAGCACCACATAATTCTAATCTTGGTATAGATAGTTTTTTAGCTGGGGCGATTTTTGATTTTCCCATTAGTAAGTAACAAATGACTTCCGTTCCTGTGTCAATCCGTAAGTAAACAGCGGCTGCGTACGCGGCTTCTGAGCTGTCACTAAATCCATGAAGCTCATACTTAGCGTTAGGATGTATTACAATGCGTGGAATTTGTAAGGAGGTGAGCATAGGTAGTTCTTGATGATATTGAGTCCACGCAATGGCTGCCTCTTCTGGTATCGGCTCGTCCCAATCTACTTTTATTAAGCAAAGGTACTTCATTAATCTTTTCAAATCTGTCGAATATCTGTTTAATATTAACGCATCGATATTAAGTTTAGGTTCAGACAAACCTACTGGACAAATGTCAATGTTAACACTTCCTTTAACTANCGAGTGGGTCATAGATTTTCGCGATTTCTGATAAAACTGCTCTTTTACTAAATTTTACTGCATTTGGTCTATACTTATAGCTGAGAACATCAACTTTTGGATCCCAATTTAATCCAAGAACGTGTATAATTTCTGATTCGTGTTCATTAAACGTAACTGGATGGGTTTGTTGGTGCTCCAATGGAATATGAGCTAATAATTCTTTCGAGTTGCTTGACCATTTTCTCAATTCAAATTGACCTCGTTTAAACAACGTGACGAGCTTCTGCTGTAGTTCGATAGCTTCTTCTACACTATTCGCACCTGTCACTAGATCGTCAACATAAATGTCATGATGAACAATGGTTTTGATGATTTCATCGTCGCCAGCTTCATCCTTGGCTAATTGGTGAAGCGTGCGTATAGCAAAAAAGGGAGAAACTGACCAAAGGTGACGGAATTCATCTCATATTCAGAGATAGGCTCCTCTGGACTGAACCTGTACAATAATCTTTGATAAGGACGATTCGATTTGGTAACTATTATTTGGCGAAACATTTGTTTAATATCCGCGGTAAATACGATTGAATATAAACGAAAACGTAAAATTATGCCGGGAAGTTCTTATTGAAGTTTCTTACCGCAATGAAGATTGTCATTGAGTGACATACCCGAAGATGTTTTTGCCGAGGCGTCGAAGACTATACGCATTTTTGTGGTAGTACTTTCAGGTCTAATAACTGCGTGATGAGGAATATAGTAAGCAGTTTTGTTACTTACTGAACTCTGTTCTAACTTAGCCATATGATTGTTGTCCAAATAATTTTGCATTTCCTTATTATAACTTTCACGCCATTCTGGATTTTTTGAAAATCTACTTTCCAAATTACATAAGCGACGTAAAGCTTGTTCTTTTGATTCTCCAAGAAGGGGTGGATATTTTATAAAGGGTAAGTGTACAACATATCTACCATCTGCTTGACATGTTGTAGTCGATTTGTAAATCTGTTCACATTCTTGGTCCTCTGGATTACACTTTTCAATGGTGGGTACGTCCTCGACTTCTAGAAATTTCTGTAGTGTATCATTGACGGATTCAAGAGTTGAACACATGGTGACAATTTTTCTATCATTCGTAGTGGAGGTTTTTCCCATTAATACCCAGCCAAAGACAGTAGATAAGGCGATTGGTCCTCCATCTTTACCTTCTTTCTTTTGGCCGGTAAGAAGCTGCGGAAACACATCCGCGCCTAATAAAATATCTACCGGTAAAGATTTGGCATAATCGGGATCTGCTAAGGTTAAGTAATTTAAATGAGACCAATTATCATTCCACACACGCTCCGATGGTAAAGGGCCAGTTATACGGTTTAATATTAACGCATCGATATTAAGTTTAGGTTCAGACAAACCTACTGGACAAATGTCAATGTTAACACTTCCTTTAACTACAGGTACTTGTAGGCCCGATAGGCCTTGTACAGTAATATCACGCTTTTCTCGCCGGATTCCCAAGAGATGTACACACCGTTCGGTTATGAAACTACTTTGGCTGGCACAGTCTAACAAGGCTCTTACGGTAACAGGTATACCCTGAACATTAAAAATGATTACTGAAGCTGTGGCTAAAAGAACGGATGTGCGAAAACCTTTTGTTTCGGAAGCGGCTAAGGTTACATGAGCAGCGGTAACGGTTTCTTCAGATGTAGAAAGGTGTAACATAGTGTGATGTCGCCCAGCACATTCGGAACAAGTTTTTGGATTTTTGCATTCACTAGCCCTGTGCGCACTAAAACAACAAAAACACCTATTCAGTTCCTTTATAATTTTATGGCGCTCACTAGGTGTTTTTTCCTTAAAAACAGGACAATTATTAAGTAAGTGTCCAGGTTGTACTTTACAAACTTGACACGTAAAGTTACTTTTCTCTCGCCCGTTATTACTTTTCATTTGCGATTGACCTGTATAATTTCGTTCCTGTCTTCCAGTAAACATAGATGTGGTGGTTCGATTTGACTTAAAAATTTTTGTGTTTGGTATCCTTTTGTTTTGACTTTTGGTAACGGTAGCTGATTAGCAATATTTTGTCAAAAACGTTATGAACTCTGTCATAGTTGGGTCTTTGGATGTATCTACTAATAACTCCTAATGGGACCTAAGATGTTGATCGAGTTTCTTTTGTAAAATATACAATAGGATCGGGTCCCATTGATCGACCGCAAAGGCTAAGTTTTGTAGTGCGCCGGTAGTTTCTATAATCACATTCAATAAATTTCGTATGGATGTTCCTTCCCCAAAAAAGGCTTTTGGTGCATTAACCAATTGTTCGAGGTGCGTTTCGGCGATTATCCGTTGATTGGAATATCTTTTTGTTAATTATAACAATGCTAATGTATAATTTGCATCTGTTAACATAAGATTTTCGATCATTCGTAAGGGCTCCCCTTCTAAATATGATTTTAAGTAACCAAATTTGACAACAGGTGCCATAGGTGTTTCGTCTACTAGTTTGTCAAACATGTTACGAAAACTTGTATAATTTATTGGATTGCCATTGAATTTCGGCACCGACAATTTTTCTACGGGAAAACCCATATTTGCGGTTGTGTTCGGTTTCGGCTCGCTGTACTCATCAAAGGTTGAGCAACCGAAACGGTTCCACACCTCTGTGGCGTGTCTATAGTCGTCGTCATCGATATTCGACTCATTCAACTGACTATAGAAAGCATCGCGGGGTGGAAGTACTGTTTCGTCTAATTTAGCCCAACTATCAGTGTACTCGTAAGGGTATACGCCCTTACGCGTCACTAACTCCATATCTTCGGAGCGGAACACCTTGGCCGTCTCCCGGAATTTAACGAAATCGGGTGTCATTAGGTTACCGGCCAAGGTGGACAGGGAGGAGGCCATGAACCGGAAAGTGTCGACAGACCGTATGGTGAAGTTATTGGTCACGTGTTTCGTGACCGAAATATACTTCTCCTCGGAATTCGGTATTACCGAAATCCTTTGGTCGTCGTACCCCAATTCAGTGACTATGAAATGCGCGTCGTAACCCGAAAGATTGTGCAAGAAGCACGGCACAAAATTGACCGTCTTTATTTTCAGGTTACAAGCATTGCATAACGTCTGTCTGAATCTGTCCGATAGATGGCAGTGGTCTTCTACTTTTGGGTTTGGAAACCCTTCAATGCAGTACGGCACAAGTCGCATACCACTTTCTCCCCTTGCCTGCGCACATTATCGACAGACATTCGGATGAGGACGTTAGTTTTACGCAATAATTTGGAAATGTTGCGTGTCACTTCCGTTACAGCCATTACGAATGCCTTGGCTACCTCTTCGCAATCCTCAGATCCACGGTATATCAGCGGTGATTGCGGTATACCGTAACGTTCGAGGAGCTCGGATGGCACATCGTTCGATGTTTTGTTGTTTTGTGAATTTGTTGTTCTTGGTCGGCGACTCTTATTGGATACACTGAACACTTCATCTTAACGTTGTCCCGTTCCAAGCCATACACGTTGACGGACACGTTAGGGTACATCGTTCAAATATTTTAATTTAGGACACAGGTGTGGGGAACGTCAACCCCTTGAAATTATACCTGTGTTCCTCGTTAAAATATTTTTGATTAACACGCGTATTATTATTAACCCCAAAGTGTCTCGCCAAAATGAAACAGGACTGATCGATGTTTTGTGGGTTGATTATTGCCTTTCTATGGAAAATTTCGAGTGGGACCGGAATATATGATGAGCCGGCGTGGGGCGTATACTTGTATACGCTGAGCATGAGACCGTCGTTATGCGCTAGCGTCAATCCGCTATCCCTGCCCGAATACACGTCTTCCTCAGCGAGCATTATCTCGAAATCATCATTGACCGCACCTACAATGTCCGTGTCGGACAACAACGCCCTAGCCCGTGTCTTGAACGCACGGTCCTCGAGCGGTGCGTCCGATCACGGTATATGGTAAGAGACCTCCAATTTGAGATTATATTTAATATACAAACGAAACAATTGTCGATGTATTTTCTCAAATATCATATCTTTAATGAAGTACAATTGCGCAAACTCAGATGTATTCATCAAAAATATACAGTTGTCATCTCGTTTTGACTGAAACAGTTATGTATCTTTTCAGGTAATAGTTTGCACCCATTGTGTCAGAATCACCTTAATGTTTTCATCTTGCAAAAGTAGTATTCCGTTTAAATTTTCCGTTATCGATAAAATATATCCGCACATTGAATACATTCTATGTAGTAAATCGATAGCAATAATAAGTTCTTGATGACTGTTTACCAACTTGACTTTTGGCCAAAATGAATCGTCTGAATCCAGACCAATGTATACGCGAGACATTTGTGAAATGCTATATATTGATGAATCGATCAAGTCGTTGATTTTATTGAATTTACACCTTGGTGTACCCATTGTGATTAAAGTCTCAAGGTCCAATAGGCGTTACTATCGCTGCGATTCGCGTTCACCGTTTTTTCAATTGTTTCAATTGAATCCAAAAGTTCGTAATATATTCGCTTCACAACTGAGCATGTACATTCAAGATTGTCCGAATTTTTTCCCACATTCGATAACTCACAACCCTTGTAGTGTAAAAAGTCTCCACCGGTACCGTTTACTTTATCTCCTAGACGTTACGCAAAATATTGCAAATCTCGATAATTTTTCAATAATTTACTGAATGGTTTAAAAACTCTATCTGCCGGTTTGTTTTCAACAAGAAAAATCAATTTATTCGATATATTACTGAAATAATCCATCTTACATGCACAATAGATCAACAAATACTGAAAACCGATTAGTAGTCAACAGACAATGTTGCTGCTGCATGACACCATACTTTCCAAACATCTGTTAGACATTGGAATCTCGATGACGAATGAGGTGTATTTTATGACTATAGCTTATACCCCGTCCCGTTGCTCTGCGTTACAGTGTAGGTGTGATCGGGCTCTACGGGGCTACGAAACGTCGTCACGAGCGCAGTTTGCCTAGCTCGGGGAATCGGGCGCGTCCTCAGGTTGCGGATAGAGGAACGGCCTGCAGATATGCAGGTTAGCCGCGAAATAAGCAGTCCATTAATTTGGACTGACGAATAAGCGGTCGCGGACAATGAGCTCCTCGTTCGCTCGTTAACCCTGCAGATATACAGGGTAGCTGCGATATAAGCCACGGTAAAGTGGACGAATAAGCGGTAGCGTTCGAGGGAAACTGTATAACGGGCGGGTGGGCCCGATAGCTTGGTAAGGCAACCACCTAGGTGAAGGCAACACCGAATACAAATCCCCTGGCGGTAGGTAAAACGCAGGTTAGAATTTACCTTAAAAATCATAGATGGAAGGTCACCATGTTAAAAAAACAGCTACGGTTCCAGGAGTATCGGAGACTCCAGGACCGGCTGGGGAGAGTACCGCTNGGTTAGAATTTACCTTAAAAATCATAGATGGAAGGTCACGATGTTAAAAAAACAGCTACGGTTCCAGGAGTATCGGAGACTCCAGGACCGGCTGGGGAGAGTACCGCTGCAGGCTCAAAAAATAATGATGAAAAATGATTATTGCTAAGAACTTTTATCGTCACCTATTATTACACAAACAACAATAATGCCACAATTCTTATCTTCTATGAATAATCACAGTAAATTCCGCACGTTCAAAATAATAAGTATAGCATTTAGAACAGTACAGGTAATCTGATATTTGATTTTATGCGCCATAAATTCTAATACATCAATATATAATTGCACTAACGTGAAATATAATATGAGTTTTTTTAGGAAATATTACTAAATCCAATTTTAAAGGAAAAATTTGATGAAACTTCAACCACTCAGTAAAAATATTAAAATATTTAAAAAAATATATTTATGCTAAATTTTGAAAAATTTTTATGTTAAGTTATTTTTCCCAAAATATAATGAATTTATGAAAAATATTATTATCTTTTTTGTAGACAATAATAAGTTCTATAATTAATATTCTATTCATTTTAGTGCTAAGTGTAATAGTTGTCGAGTTAAACATAAAAAAAGCAAAAACAACTATCAAGTGCCATATTTCAACCCTAATGCGGCACCAGAAGGGTTTGAATAAAATCTTACAAATTTTACCTACATTAAAAAAATTGAGTTTGAAAAATAAGGACCACCCTACTACGTATATATGGTGTTGTGCGGAAGAGGTGACTATGAAATAAAATGTGTATAAAACAATTTGTGTGTCGAAAATATCAAAATATTCAATCAATAATATAAAAAACTTACCTTGTGCAGCACCAGTTAAATGTATATCAACCATTGTTATTCGATTTTAAATTAAAAAAAAAAACCCAGCACTGTGGGGTCGCGGTATAGTGTGGAAGTTGCATTGTTGGGTCCAGTATAGATTTAATCTGACAGTGATTAAAATCACTATCATACGAAACGATTCGATGCAAGTCTATAGATACTGTTTAATTCTATGAAATTAATGAATAACTACAAAGCAACATCAACTTCTATTTCCTTATTTATACCCAGATTAGTAATTCTTTTAATTATATATTATATAATTTTTAAAATTAATTGTTTTCAAATTATTATTGGTTTTGATTTTTAATATGTTTAAAGTAAACATTTTGAACCTACTTTTTTAGCTTTGATGCAAAACTGAGAAGGTATTAATTTTACCATGATGCGTTTTTTTTTTTTTTTATGTCTGTTGCCACTTTTTCTCAGCTCTCACCGAACCGATTTCTTTCAATGATACGTCAAAAGATCACAAATCGTATCTAGTCGAAGACATTACCCTCAAAAATTGAAAAAATTTCCCTCGTTCCCCGTAAATGGGGGAAACCTCCAAAAAAATTACAAATTTAAAAATCGCTAATTTCACTACTGTGCCGCGACACCCCTGTGCTGGGTTTTTGTTCTTTAAAGTGAATGTTTTAATAAAAAAAAAATTAATTAATTACCATAACTTTTAGTTCAA